GTGAAACTACTCTGTATGATACTATAATGGCAGATACCTGTCATTACATTTGTCCAAACCCATAGAATGTAAAACACCAAAGTTATACATATACCCAATGTAAACTATAGTCTTTGGGTGATAATGGTGTGTCAGTGCAGGACTGTAACAAATGTACTACTCTGATGTGGGTTGTTGATAGTGGGGGAAGTTGTGTGCATATGAGGTACGGGGAAATTTCTGCACTTTCTGCTCAATTTTGCTGTGAACCTACTCCTGTTGTAAAACATGAAGTCATTTATGACATACTACATTAAAATTTTACATTTAAATTTACACTAAAAGTCATATTTATATTTTCATTTAGAAAAAGTGGAGCTACATTGATGGAAGTGGTGGCAATGGAAGGAGGAGGGCAGGGAGAGGTGGAGCCCTGTCCGTGCCTCATCCCCCGAGTATTCCCTGAGACCTTGGGGATGTAGGACTTGGAGGAACACCAGAGACCTAGAGGACTAGAGCTCAATGCCTTAGCAAGGCAAACAATGGCCCTCCTGATCAGGCCTAGCTTTCCTTCCAGGCTCGGTTCTTGTGGTTCCCTAATACCCTGCATTCGAAATATGCTGCACATACACTAGTGTTTCCCACAGTACCTCCTGCTCCATGGGTCTCCCTCCAGGCCATTGCTCGTGTTGCCTCCTCTGTCTTGCATCCTTCGCCCTCTTTCTCTACTTAATGACTCCCTTCAAGTCTCAACTCAAGCAGCACTTCCCCTGTGAAGCTGCTCCAGATGCCCCAAAAGACCTTCCTCATGCTTGATTCATCCTGTACTCTCCATCATGGCATCCGTCCAATGCACTATTTTTGTGTGCCTGACTCCTACTATGCTGTGAGCAGTTTGAGAGCAGGGCCCTTGCTTCTTTCATCTGGATATCCCCTGCAACCAGCATGATGCCTGGCTTCCTAAATGTTTGCTGAGAATGAATGAGTGAATGAATGAATGAATACATAAATTCTCTCTTCCTCTCTCAGAAGATGATCCCACTTCCCACTAGACTGAGATGATGTTCAATCACTCTTTGGTGGATTTTCTCCCTTCCCATCAGTTTCTTTGACTTTGGGTCTTGATAGCAGTGGTCAGTGTATTAATAAATCAGTCCAGCCACAGCAGCCCACAGGCAGGTTTCCACTTTATTTTTTTCCCCTATTCTTTTGTTAGCAGAACTGTGTTCCTTTAGATGTATCTTCAGTTCGTCCTTGGGTTATTTCACCTTTCTGCTCCCATTTACATATGCTCTTAGTTTATCAAAAGGAAGCTTGGCAGGGCAAGAAATTCCCAGCCTGTCCTTCTCTGGTGGAGAAGAAAGTCAGAATTGTTAGCTTTAATATGACCTTTAAGGTACTTCAATAAAAGACATCTGTAGTCGTGTGATTGCTTGGAATATTTAATACTTAATTTTCAAAGCCTCAGCTGAACACGGGCTGTATCTGAACTGATATCCCAAGCCTATAACAGTAAACCCAGCTCCACCTGGACTTGAGAGCTGAGGTCTGCAGAGCCTGACAAATTATCTAAGCCTGGTGCATTATTCCTTTCTATGATTTTTTTTGGTCTCCTATGGTTTACAGAGGTAGCTCAGAAAAGTTCTCAAAGAATACTTATTCAAGCTTTGTTACCTGTTTTGAATGAAGCCAGTCAATCCCATGAACTTCCTTGTTTCCTCCTAATTTTTCATGCAGTGTCTAATCACAAGCATTCAAGCTCTTAGAAAAAACTTGAAGGTTAAATCAGGACTTTCTGCTCCTGAATCAAGTCTGTTTCAAAGTTCACCAAAATAGCTACAGCTCACACACAGTTTTAAAAAACTGTAGTCTGCCCTCTGGAGACTCATTTACATGTGGCACTTCATAGGCACCTGAATTTTTTATAGTCTTAGGGCTTTTGGTTGATTTTCTCAGTACTTTTGATGAAATTATTTTCCACCATAGATACTGATTCTATGAGATAATTGTGTATGATTACCATATTTCTTAATTCATATTTTCTTAAATTGCTATATTTCTTAATCTCTTTCAATAATAAATAGTGAATAGTTATTTACCATTAAGCACTCTCAAAAAAAGCTAAGGTTAGAATATCCCTGATAATGAATCTACAGGGTCTTTCAAATACAAGTAAGTGGTAACAAAATCAAAGCCATAAATTAAGCAAATGTCAAATTCCCTTAGTCTTATGGGGAGCAAAGGCCACCCTCACCTCCTAAATCATATCATTAAGAAGAATCAGAAAAACTCAGGCATCACTAGCCTTCAATGTTTCTGCAATACTGTAAAAGGAGGCAGAACTTGTTGCCACTGTCTTTTATTTATTTTTTGTTGCCACTATCTTTTATTCTTTCACTACCATCCCTTCCCTGGTCTCCACACTTCCATTCAACAGGGTTCAAGAAACCCTCCTCCCAATTCCTCCCCCCAACTAGCTTTGGATCTCACATCATCAGTCCCCTCATGTTGTAGTCACGCACCCATCCCTAGTCAATCCCTCTCATCTGAAAATTTTAGCTCTGGTTCACTGTCACTCTCTCCAATATTAGTTTTGCCATATGTTTTAGTGATTTCAATGACCCCCAAAGTAATCCTTCCCTGAACCTTTATCTTTCTTCTGGTCTACTGATCTTGCACTCAGCACAACCTCAGCCACTCTCCCCCAATGGACATGCCTTAGGCTTTGTCATTACCAATAGCTGAACCCCCCATGACCGCAGTTTCAAGCATCCCCCTTTCAAACCACCACTTTCTATTCTTCCAACTTACTATCTCTGCTGATCTTACTCCAACAATCCTTTGGGCCTCTGGAGGTACAATTCACTGATCCTGCCCACTTTTCACTGTCCCTCTGCCTCCTCATTTTCCTGGCTTCAGTCCTCATTTTCCTCCCTGCTCAGCTTCAACCCCAAAGTCCACCATTACAATCACCCCTCTGCATAAACTCTCAGCATCTCTGCCTCTCTTCTTATCTTATGCCCTTGAAAAACCCCACCTGGACCTGCATGGTTGAACAAGACTGGAGGAAAAACACACAGCCATAGAGATGGTCTCACTTCAAATTTATCAGCATGAAGCTCAAGCAGATCCTTAATGCTGTCTGGCCACTTTGATCCATCCCCTTGGCCCATTCACTCTTCTGCTCTCATCATCCTCTCTCTCCTCAAACCTTCAACACCTCCCTTTCATCCTCACTAACAGCTGATGGCCTTGCTTCTGATTTCACTGAGAATACAGAAGCAGTAGAAGATAATGTCTAAAGATACCGCCACTGCCACCCCATCAACCCACCTACCAGTCTCAAAGCCCATGTACTCTGCCTTCTTTGTTACTTTCCTCTTGTGTCCTCAAGAAATCATTCCAGGTATTTTTCTTCTCTACTTATCTTAACCATTTTTTTCCTTCTCAAAAGAATTTCTTAATCAGTATGTAAATATACTGTCATTTCTTTTGTGTGTAAAGGTACCCTCTCTGACCACACTTGCCTGTCCAGCTTCCATTCCATTTCTAGGCTTCTCTTTATAAAAATAGTCATCAAAAGAGCAGCCACCAGTGTTTCTCTTTCCATGCTCTCTTAAACCTATTCCGATCATGCATGAGCCCCTGACTCCACCAAAACCGATCTTTTCAAAGTCATCAGTGACTTCCATGTTGCTAAATTGAACGATCAATTCTTGGCCCTCATCTTGCTTGACCTATGAGCAGCATTTGACAGGGCTGGTCTCCATCCCTCTTGAAACGCTGGATTCTTAGGACTCCCTGGTCTCCTGGTTCTCCTCCTCCATACCCACTGCTTGTTTTCAATGTTCTTTGTTGGCTCTTCCTCATTTCCCCAACTTCTTAATGGACTTCCCAGGTCACAGACCACGTGCTTTTGCTTTCTGTAATATCTATGCTCACTCCCTTAATATTCTTATTCAGTCTCATGGCTTAAACAGTTTCTACATGTTGGTGACTCTCAAGTCATCCTACATCCAGCTCACATCCTCTCTTCTAAACTCTAGATTCATATATCCATTAGCCTATATACCTCTTTTCTTGGATGTCTAATATGTCCCATATCAATTGGCTCTCCCTCCTTCCTAAGTCTCTCTTCCTTCATTCTTCCACATCTCACTTACTGGCAACTCCATCTTTTCTGTTTCTCAGGCAAAAAAAACCCTTACAGTCATCTTTGACTCTTCTCTTTTCTCTTGCATCCCAAATAGAGTCCAACAGAAGATCTGCCAGGCTTGACCTTCAAAACATAGCTATAATCTGACCATTTCTCACTACTTCCTCAGCTACCATCCTGGTCTAGACTCTCTTAGGTTACAGAAATAGTTCTGATGATGTTGAATTGCCTGAACACCAAGGCTGCCTTTTCCCTTGTCTGGGGGATGTCTGGAAGCTGTATGCTACCCCAAGTCTCACACTCAGATTTTACCATTTCAGATTCATTCTTATGATATTAAAATTGCCATCTCTACTTACTATTCTTTAAATATTTACAGCTTCTGGGGGGAAATGTATATATAAAACTTTGTCCCTAAAACATTTAAGGTACATTATAAAAGTACATAAAATACATTAAAATATAGAAAAAAGTGAGAAAATTAGGCAAAGGGAAGATAAGGATAGAAAAAAATTCATATGATGCTGCAGGTGAGGTCAGCATACAAATACATGCCATGAGGTTCTTCACACTTGCTAAATGGGAATAACAGAGGAGTCCCTTCCTCTAAGATGTGCTTTAATATCAGGTTTCTTTTTGCTTAATGGGCCCCCATAAGGCATCATGATCACAGTGGCTCCTTGAGTCTGAGAAGGGGAGGACTGTGTGGGGCAGGAAAGGCTCAGAAGGAGAAATGAGGCAATGTTGGTCACGAAGTCCCTTCTCACCTGAGACTGGGTCCTGACCTACACCCCAGTCATTCCCTGGTATCCTTCCCAATCTCCCACCTCCCAGCCCACCCCCACATGATACCCTGAGTACTTACCAAGACCCAAGCAAGAAACTCTGAGTCCTGATTTTCCAAGATTCCTAGAATAAAAATAAAGCAACACATGGTCATTTCATCAGGTGAATTTTAACTGGGAGTATTAAATCTCACTTAAATTTTTTTTTAATTGAAATACAGTTGATTTACAATGTTGTGTTAGTTTCAGGTGTATAAATCTCATTTTTGATGATGTTGCTCCTGACTAGAGCCATGGTAGAGGCAGAGCCTCAGATGCAGGCCTGTGGTTTGGGGAAGAGACTCTTTCATCTCCATTTGGGCACTAGAAAGCCCAAAATGTGCTTAGGCTCAGCACAACAACAAAGTGTCCCCACAAAACATAGCTTTTCAGACCTAATGATCTTCTTCATTAATTTGCTTACAAATGTATTGTCTCTCTCCTTCTAGAATGTGAGTTCCTTGAGGGCAACTTGATGGATAGGGATTATTAAAAGAACAAATACAAAATAATTCTTTAGGCTATTTAAACTAAATTATATATATATATACTTAACATCTTTATTGGAGTATAATTGCTTTACAATGGTGTGTTAGTTTCTGCTGTACAACAAAGTGAATCAGCTATACACATACATATATCCCTATATCTCCTCCCTCTTGAGTCTTCCTCCCACCCTCCCTATCCCATCCCTCTAGGTGGTCACAAAGCACCGAGCTGATTTCCCTGTGCTATGTGGCTGCTTCCCACTACCTATCTATTTTACATTTGGTAGTATATATATGTCCATGCCACTCTCTCACTTCGTCCCAGCTTACCCTTCCCCCTCCCTGTGTCCTCAAGTCCATTCTCTACATGTGCGTCTTTACTCATATCCTGCCCCTAGGTTCTTCAGAACCATTTTTTTTTTCTTTTAGATTCCATATATATGTGTTAGCATACGGTATTTGTTTTTCTCTTTCTGACTTACTTCACCCTGTATGACAGACTCCAGGTCCATCCACCTCACTACAAATAACTCAATTTCATTTCTTTTTATGGCTGATATATTAAAAAAAAAAAAAAAACAAAACACTACACAGGGACTTCCCTGGTGGTCCAGTGGTTAAGAATCTGCCTTCCAAAGCAGGGGATGTGGGTTCGATCCCTGGTCGGGAACTAAGATCCCACGTGCCACGGAGCAACTAAGCCTGTGCACCACAACTACTGAGCTGGCGCCCTCTGGAACCCACATGCCACAACTAGAGAGAAGCCCGCACACTTCAACAAAGAGCCTGTGTGCTGCAACAAACGATCCCGCATGCCGTAACAAAGATCCTGAGTGCTGCAACTAAGACCCAATGCAGCCAAAATGAATGAATGAATGAATGAATAAATAAATAAAATAAAATAAAATAAAAATAAAAAAGCTGAAAATGCAAACCTAAAAAAAAACTACACAAAATTCCTACAAGAAGGTCGGATAGTCCTTAAATGATTCTTCCTTTCCTCATGAACACCTTTGCTTTTCATCCTTAAAAGTTAATCCAGGGAAAGGAAATATATTTTCATTCTCTAAGTAGGGAGAGAACTAGGTGCTCTAATCTTCACTGTAAAGTGTCTGTCTGTGGAGACCCAGACCCAACCCATTTTTCTGTCATCCACCTAACTGCCATCAGAAGAAATCAAATTCTCAGAGAGAGGATGCCTCATAGAATTTTGTAGGGTCCAGTGTGAGGAGATGAATCTTACACTATTGAAACATGGTAGAAAAGTGTATTCCTTATTCTCTGATCAGATGCTCTTATAAGAGCACAACTTTTCTCCTTGCTTCTACCCAAACAAAACAGCACCAACTTTTCCAATAAAATTTTCCACAGCTCGGTTCTTCCAGGTTCTCTCTTGATTCCTCCACAGTTTGCCTTCTTTAGAGCTAGTAACCAGTGCTCTTGTTTTTACATCTATTTCTTTTCCCTGCTTGCTATTATTGTCTATAAAATTCCACCTAAGCAACACATTTCATTTCCTAGCATGGTCCAAAGTACATCACACTGCAGAGTTGAAAGACCCAGTTTTTTCTGCATTTGTTGTAACTAGCTAGGTGACATTGGAGAAATCACTTCCTTCCCTGGAGTTCAATTTCTTCATAGTACGATGGGGTATTTATACTTATGCCATTCATTCAGCATCACTGTGGTGGGGCTGGAACATGATAATGTATGCTAATGTGTTCACAGTAAACGAATGCAAAGCGTAATTATTTTTGGTGCTTTCTGACTCTACTCACCCTCTCACAGACATAGTGCTAAATTTTCCATATGAATTGGATATGTCCACCTGGCAGGAAACTATCACATAAAGGTATGTGTGAAAAATATTTTGAACTGCTAAATAGGAGAAAAATAATTGGACCTCTCCCATGAAAATAATTTGCACCAGGAATTGTTCTTTTAGTAGTTTCTCAGAAAACCACAGGATGTACAGCCAAAAGATCTTGCTTTGTGGTCTAAAAGTCTACTTTTTTTTGGGGGGGGGCATGTGGGATATTATTTCCCCTACCAGTGATGGAACCCATGCCCCTTGCAGTTAAGCGCCGAGTCCTAACCACTGGACTGTCAGGGAATTCCCAAAGTCTGCTGATTTTAAAGGATAGGAATCTAGAGCAAAAGCTATATAGTGGGGAGAAAAAAAAAAGACCTACACCAGAACAAAAAAAGCAAAAAAATACATAAGTGAATAACAGTCTTCCAGGTAGAGATACTTGACATTGATGAATTAGTGAAGATTTATTCACAGGTTACCATGTTCAAGGCAACGTGCAAGGACATGCAGATACAGAGAGGAACAAGGCACAGTTCTCTACCCTTAAGGAGTTCTCTATCCTCTACCTTTTCTGAGGGGCACAGAGAAGCAACCATATAATCACAATACAGTGGGGTATATCCTCCCATGGAGGTCTTTGAGAGCACATGGAGGAGCTATCTCAGGTTTGTATTTGCATAACTATGTGGGTGTCATGGGGGAAAAGATCAAGGTAAGGAGTTTCATGTAATTTTAATATCTTTCAGTGACTCTGTGCACAATAGGGAGCTGTAACTTGGTGCAGAAAACTATGCAAAGGAAGAAATTTTTCTAACAAACTCAAATAGGGCAACGTTATGACACTGGGCACTTGCTGAGCAGCACCTCAGCACCCAAGGTAGGGAGACCTGCCCTAAGTTTCCTTGCGACAGTGACTTAGGGAGATAATGATCACTCTGCTATGGGTTTGGAAGGCCACACTTGAGAAACTTGAGAGTTGTCAGCCAACACAAACTGCAAAGTAACAAGTACTCAACATGGCCCATTTTATTGCCATTGCTGTTTAAACACCCAGGCCAGATTTTCTGGAATGAAAGCCTTAGAAGATTTTGTACTGTAAGAAAAGTTCAATTAGAGACAAATATTGATACAGTGATGATAGGTCCCGCACTGAGCCTTAGTGTTTTTATTTCCTTTAACTCTTTCTCTGAATATTTTTACCTGCTGGAAGGAATGATTACCAAATAGAGCTCGTTGTTTTTATTTTTTATTTTTAATATTTATTTATTTGGCTGCGCCAGGTCTTAGTTGCAGCACACGGGATCTTTAGTTGTGGCATGTGGGATCTAGTTCCCTGACCAGGGATCGAACCTGGGCCCCCTGCATTGGGAGCAGGGAGTGTTAGTCACTGGACTACCAGGGAATTCCTTACAGTTGGTTGTTTTTAAAGTGAGAGGTATTTTCTGTGCATAAGCCATATCTGGTCTCTAAGTCTTATTTTTTCCAGGGGTAATCCCACGTTCATGTCTGCACAATACTAAGTGGAGGTAGGGTAATTGTTTAGCCCCTCTGATCCATTTAAGCTCTGCTGGATAACAGAAGCCCAAATACTTGACACATTTGATCTAATGAGCCCAAAATACATCATCTGAAAGCTTGTTTGTGTGGCTATAACACTGAATAATGGCCAAATTTACACATCATGCTGGGCTGTGACAGATGTCCTGGAACCTTCTCTATCCCAATCATAAGGAATTTTCATGCACACTTCATGACCTTGTGTGACATTGTGCATTGAAACAATGTAATTGCATTTTATTTCTTAATTCCTCAGCGTTAGCACAGGTGAGGCCACAAAAAGATTCTGTAAGCACATCAAATGTATAATTAGATTGAATTTCTTTCCCATTTGATTCAAAACAGTTGCATTGTACTGGTTTTCCTATTTTATCTGTGTCAGATATACCAGAAGGAAGTCTCACTGTGTTCATTTTTAGTATGCGCTCCTGTTCAACTCAAAATAAAAGCTCCTCTTTCCCAGGTGAACCTGAGCTGCTCGTCTGCTAATATTAGAAATGAATGACATCAGTATGGGGGCACGGGACACATAGCTTTGTCAGTCAAATTTTGGAAATCCTAAATCTTAAATCAAAGCCTCAGGAAAGAGTTACTGCAGAAGGGATATAGCTTCTTGAGAAGCCAAGGTTACATTTCTTCTTTCTGAAGGCAGAATTGTCCTCTCAGTGTCTGAACTTGTTTTAGGACAATGGTTAGTTCCATGGCAGATGCATTAAATATAATTTCTAGTGTCATTCTGTGGAGCATCCATCATGCACTTTTTATTTTAAGGCGATAATAGAACTGTGAGAACTAAAATCCAGTGTCACTTAGGCACAGTATCAAATGCCATTTGATGCTTACAGGTCCTTTACAAATCAAAACATGCTTAAAGCAGAAGATTAGCAACCTAAATGTGCTGTTTCAAATTGCTTGCTTCTGAATACATATATCTTAGACATTACTCAGAGTTGTAAACTGCTTGGAAGAGAGGAATAGCTAGCTAAAATAGGTATCTTGCATTTGACCAAGAAAGATGCATATCGCATAGGACAAAAGTCCCTTATTTAAAGGTTGACACAACAGAGACAACCTGAAAGCACAGGTAAGGGACTCCAGTGGCCTTGTCAAGCTGGCAGAAACAAGTTTGGTTTGACCTGGTTTTCATGTGCTCAGATCATTACAGCATCTGCTGTCTGAGTCTCTACCTGAACAACCTTCTGGTCCCTCTAAATCACACTCCGCTGT